ATGTATTTTTCATTTTCTATGCAGCCATGTAATTTCCATTTAGATTTTAATTAGTACACATGTACAATGGTCTTCACTTTCACTAAAATCATTAAAATACAATTTCAAAAGGTACAACAATGTACTGTAATATGGTTCATTTAAAATAATGTAAAAGAAAAAAGCAATTTCTGGATCACCTTTTCATTAAACATGCTGAATGCATCTTGAATATACCAATGTTTCTGATCTTTCTAACAAGAAATATCTTCAATCTCGCCCATTACTTTTAAGAAATCAATGAGGAAATTATTCTAATGCATGCAAGGTATTTTTTTACGCAATGCCCGTTTATGTATGTGATTTTCATAAAGGCAAGCCACCTGAACAGAATATTAAGGGCGGAATAAGTGGCGAAAAGGTAGGGCATAATAGGATACAATGAGTGATTAAGGAGATATGCGTAGAAAAGAATATCTACAAATTTATTTATTCATCATGTTTCACTGCTGTGTAGAAAAGATATGAAATTAAAGATTTGGACAAGATCAGGTAGGACAATTAAAATTTAAGCCATCATTATATATTCCAAGAAAACTTAATTCTGAAAAAACCTTGAAGACTTGGATTAACTTGACCTTCAAACTCCTATTTTTTAACTTTTCTTAAAAACATTATTCGCATACTTGCCTCATCATCCCAATATAATCAGTACAGTTTGCCATTTAGATGTGAAAGGCTGCAGTTGTTTAAACCAGTAATTTGAAATAAAACCAGACAAAACTCTCCATCACAATGTTAAAACAATAAATTCTCATTTCAAACGGGAGTCACAGCATACCAGAGTGAAACCTGAGAATTAAAAAATTCTTAAATTGCAGCAGCACCTTGCACAGTGCATGTAGGGAAGTGGAAGTCGTCATGATTCTGAGTAAATCTGATAATTCACACCCGTTATCAAAAGTGATGTCAGCCCCCACTACAATCAGAATATCGCACTAATTGGGAAGAACTCACAATGTTTGCTTCCAGGTCCTGGTAAAACCACACTAAGTTTTGGTATCTACACAATACATGCCATCATTTCGGGGGGCAATGTCGGTGAGGAAACAGAAAAAGGGAGTATCCTTTTTAACCTACACAATGTGTCATTCACTTAAGTGACTTTAACCATGAACTTGGATGGGTTCTGAATCTCGAACACAATCTGTATCTTCACATACAATTCAAATGCTTTGTTTTGTTTGTACAGATTAAAAGACTTGATTTTGAAAGGCAGGTGACAAGAGAGAAATCAATATTGAAACCATATCAGCATTAATAAAATTTGTGCACATTTATTAGTTAAATTCTGACACAAATAATTACAATTAAACAGTTAAGTAGGCTTGAGTTTCGATAAAAGTTTCACTTAATTTGCATGTTTTCAGTCAAAAAATCTCATTACTATACAACAACTATGTCCTATCATTAACAGAGCTACATCATGTTTTAAGTTTATACTGCATTAGTGTCAACTTTGGTTCTGAAAAAAAATCATAACCTTATATTTTGGATAAAATTTCAAAATCTATGTCATATTGTTACATAACGAAAAGCAAAATTGTACTATGTCAATCAAAATACTAAGGAGATAATTACATGAAGGTGTTTCAACATTATTCAGCATTCTGCTCCCAATATGACAGTTTGTCTGTTATCTAAAAAGATCATAGACTTACAGAAATACAACTTGGAGCAGAAAAGTATTTCATAATCACCTTATTTTATAAATATTTGGCATTTTCATATCATTATTTGTTGTTCAAACTTGAGGCTGCATTTCACTAATGTAACAGCCAATAGCCAGCACTGACCACTGATGTGGGATGTTAGATTATGACATCACAACTTTAATGACATCATGATCAATCACATTGACCATGGCAGAGTTATGGTGCACAACTCAAAACAGGGAAAGGCAACATATCACTAAACAGGGAAAGGAAATATATTACGAGCTCTATTGTTGAACATATCACTAAACAGGGAAAGGAAAGATATTACCAGCTCAATTGTCGAACATAGCAATAAACAGGGAAAGGAAATATATTACCAGCTCAATTGTTGAACATATCACTAAACAGGGAAAGGAAAGATATTACCAGCTCAATTGTCGAACATAGCACTAAACAGGTTACCTAGTCACTAACTCAATTGTCGAACATATCACTATAAATAGGGAAAGGAAATATATTACCTAGCTCAATGGTCAAACATAGCACTAAACAGGGAAAGGAAAGATATTACCAGCTCATTGGTCCAACATAGCACTAAACAGGGAAAGGAAAGATATTACCTAGCTCAATTCCTAAACATAGAACTAAATAGGGAAAGGAAAGATATTTACCTTATAAGCTGAAATCTTAGTTTCATGTTTTCATTCATGAAATATAATTTTCATTCATGAAATATAATGTAATTTTGAAAGAATTACTTCAACTTTAACAGAAGAATGCCTATGTAAGGCAATATTTATGGGAAACATTTCAAATTTTGAATTTGATGACAGTATTGTTTATTTCAATGAACTTACAAGATATTGTGCATACCCAAAAAGAATGATCTTTATATAAAATTATCATAAACTTCATATTTTTTGAGAATTAACATCATTTTCAAAATCAAGTATCATTTGTAAAAGTAAAATGCACTGTTGACATCTATGTATATTTAAACTGAAGGAGGAAGATACTGAGTGTATGTTACAATGACTAACATAGCTTCAATCCTGACAACATTACCATAAAATTCAGAATATTGAATTGTGGAGAACCTTCAAATATAAATCTTACATTTTTTTATAATTACACGGTAGATAATGAGAATGTAGTCAGGACAATTTAAAGGTGTTACACAGTATATATAATTATTGTGCCATTTACATGCTAATTCATACACAAGATCATATTTCTCTTTTTTAAAACACAAATTTGAATATTCTCTTGATTTTCATTTTTGTTTTAAAAGATTTTTAACGATTATGTGAAAAACTGATATTTTTTTGCTTGAATGACTATCCACTGCTAAAGACACTGCACCAGAATTTTAGAGATTTTAAATACCTTGTAAAAACTGATCCTAAATCTAATTTTCTACCACTACTTCAACTAATTGATGACTGACTATTGTGGAAATAAAATCAAGAAAATCAATTAATCAGTCATGTGAGAAGTAACAAAGAAAATGAAATCTACAAAATGCTCGGGGTACCCAGAGCCTTTTATGCAATTTGTGGTATTTTGCATTTTTCATTTTGTCCTGATATTGATTTTGTACAAGTGAACATGTTTAAATAATCTAATTCCATTAGATGTGAAATGGAATAAAATAGAGAAAATAATATATGCTCACTGATTAGACAACTAGCGATAAGGACATGGGCAGATGTGTTCCTACTGTTGGGGTTCACTTCGGCTCTACAGCTTTCACATCCCCCTTTTATAAACCAATGTAAATGTTATTTGTCATCATACCACAGGTGGGTTCAAAAAAAAGATCAGCTATTTAAATACCATGTCAATATCATGTACAATATAACTTATGTAGGGTATTTTTGAGTTTAAAGTACATAATCTGTTTAACACAGTTTAAGCTAGGCACTGAAAATATATTAAATTCAAAATTTCCAGGCTGATGATACAGACATAATGGCATGTACACATTAACATAGACAGATGGTTTTGTATTATAATAGGTCTTTGTTTACATGAAAACTGGTTTCATATCATTGTATGTCTTTTGTTTACATGAAAACTGAACCCCTAATTGGAGTATGGTACTTATTTCAAATTTTGATTCATCTAAAAAGTACATATAACTCTCAATTAAAGTACATTAATTACTTATGTAGTTGAACAATTATATCAAATCTAAAACACAATTTTTTATTTTGTCTGTTTTTAAAGATATAGCAACACCTATATCATAATTAATTTAAGTTGTATGCTTTTCATTAATTCAAAAATATAATTTCTTCACATCATATCACAAGAATATAATTTTGTCAATTGATTGACATTATTTGTTGAAATGTATAAATATGTTCAATGCTATTTCTTAAAATAATTTATATACATTATTGATATTTTAATTAATTCATATATACAGTTATAGTTTAAGTGAATAGCACCTACAGATATGGAGCAAAAAAAGCCAAATAAGGGTCTGTGTTAAGTAGAGGGCTATTTACATTATGACTAATACAAAGAACAAAGAAATACATGGAGGCTTTAGTCTAACCATTGTGTCCCAGAGCAGAATTACTCAATATCTACAATGTACAACAAAATATCTTTTTTCAGTTCTTTGCAATACACAGTAATTAATAAATTGATACAATGTTGCATTATAGTTGCAAAATCATTCTCCTGTAAAATTGAATTAAATTAAGGATTTTGTAATGAAACAAAGGGCTTTTCGAGTTATATTTTGAGAAGCGAACGTCCTGTAACGATGGCAGGCCGATCGATAACGTCCACTCTTTGTGATCTGAGCAGCCTATATAGATATGACTAAGACATCATCAAACGACGCGCGGAAAGTCTTTGTTGTCAAATCCGACTCGACCCATTGCCAAAACATATCAACAACGACAAGACAATGCCACAGCATCAAACACTATTTATTAACAAATTCCATTTAACAGTAAAATTGCACGAGCATTGCATGGAAATTGCTGCAGCACATGCCCCACTACGGTAGCGAACGGGGCATGCGGCGAATGGAAAACAATGGGCTCCCAGACAGAAGCGTGGCACGTGCTCAGGTTTACGTCTTGGTAGCGATCAACATCGTCCAAAATACCGATTCCCGTTATACATAAATCGAAAAACATAAACATACCTTGACTTCAGCTGCAATAAAAAGTCATGACATTCGTTCAAACTTACCTTTTTCCACGAAATATATTTGACAGATGCCTCTTCCATTGAAACTACAGCGCCATACTATTTACCCATCATTCTGATGATGATAAGTAATACGCATGCGTATGTAGGTTTTGTTTAGGTATGGCGGTGTACGTAACGTGCCTCACCGCAGGCGGAGGTTTGCCGGTCTTCACACGATCTTCAGGAGATTTGAAGCCAGTATGTCACTCCAAAAGTTACAGTAGATTATATGCCATTTCTCTTGGAGGGCTGGTACCGGTGGGTTCTACACTTGGTGGAGGGCTAGATACTGATATACAAAATCGTCAGTGTGTATTGACTTGAGAGTGTGTGCCCTTTCACCCATGACCCACTAGCATCTTTGAAAGGGGGCCCGCAGTGGGATAATTGAAATAAACGGGCAATTTGCATGTAGTTAGCTAGAATTTTAATCAGCTATTTGTTATTTGCTTTCTCGTCAACATCAAAAGAAAAATAATTTGAGAAAACTGTTAAAGAATTTCAAAGTGAAGTAAGATTTATTTTCAAAATGAAAAGAAGAAAAAAGGAAAAAACGAACTTCTCATCAAGGCTCATTGAAAACAATCAAATATTTTAAAACAAATCTAATTTTATCTTCAATGATTTTATAACAGCAATATCATTGAAATATGCAGTTTTGAAATAATTCACGATGTTTCACAAAATGAATGTAATCTGTTTTAACCCTATATATACATTTATACAATATGGCTAAATTGCTTGAAAGCATCCCAATTTTTCCTCTCTGTTTTTATTTTCACTTTTCATATATGTTGCATACATGTTTTTACATTTTTCGGAAACAAAAGGTTTATGGATGAAAGGTTTTAGGATGAACATTTCAAAAAATGAATGAAGTTTAAGTATGAAAATTGAACACTCGGGTTTACTCCAAAGTAAATATACATTCATTTCCTAATTTAAACAATTTAAATGTTCATTTGAATATGGTCACTAATAAATTTTAACCGATATGTTAATATTATATGTAATTTTCAATTTCAACGGTTTTTCACCAGTTCTTTTCTTATTGAATTTAAACAAAATAAAGTTGTATACTGATATGCATGATGAGATATAAACAAGTCTTCATTTTGATAAAACTTCCATAATTTCAGTTTCCGGATTAATTGAGTAATCATGGATTACATGTGTCTGTTTTCTTTAGAAAGTAGGTGATTCCTTATTAGATTATATATTTTAAATGTCAAGGTAACATAATTGAAATTACCTTCAAGAACAATTGATCATTGGTTGCTCTGAAAGTAGTAACAAATTAATGCAAATAATGTCAAAATGTTTGTTAGATCTGCATTTTGATAGTTCCTGAAATAAATGTAGATTAATGGAGAATTGAGATCAGAGTAATATAAAGGAAAAAAGTAAAACTAGACATAGTGTAAAATTAATTAGTGAGCAAAATGATAAAGGCATGCGCATGTCACATTATCAATTTTAATGATATGGAAACAGAAAGTTTTACAAATCACTTATCAAGAATTTTGATATTAAATGCTTTTACTAATTTGAACTTGGTGATCACATCAAAGCCATATTTGTATTAAATATAGGAAAAATATATATAGGTAACAAATAACAAATGTGTTTCATATTCCTTTATAAAATCAGTTGAATTATTTTCTAGAGCTCCAATTTCAATATGTGTAGCCCAAATAAGCAGTCCTCAAATATACTGTATATGTGTGTAATAGTTTCAATTATGATAGTTAAACAGTAAAGTTATGTTTTGAAACTTATTGTAATTTTCACATATATTTATAAATAATATGTGTAAATAGAGCATTGCTCTTTGAAAATGTCCTTCTAATTAATATATAATCGATTCAAAACAGAAATTCCTATCTACGTTTTATGGTACAGAAATTGTGAAAACAGTTTTTAAATATGAATGAGCTCTCATTTCAGCAGTTATAAATATGGAAATGTAATGTGACATATGGATTGTGTGAATTTCTGAATGTTCACATTGATATATATTGAAGATCACCTGTTATATTGTAGGAGACAAAATATACCATTATTTATACATGTAAAACTACAACAGTGTTACAACGTAGAGCTATGGTAGATGGTCTGTGAAACGGTTTTCTTTTCTTTACATTTAGGTAATCATTGATGCATACTAAACTGTTTTTGCATTAAAATGAAGCAGGAAATTGAAATCCAGTTTCTTTGAGTTAATACTGATCTGTGTACACCACTTAGAAAAATAAATAACGCCTTATTGTAAATATAATGACACAGCTTCTTCAAAGTGTTTAGAACTCTGAATTCTTTGATAGTAACAATTAAAAATTACCATTTGAATATGAGTCATAAGCAAAAATAAGGCAAATCTCAACATTTCTTGTATTAATTGGATAGGCATTCTATATATATATATATATTCTAGGTTTGTTGAAATACTACAATATGCACGAAAATGACATTTGAGAAATTTTGCAGAGAGTGCTCAATATACTACATACAGCATCAAATGACAAAGACTAGTTTCGAAGGACACATCTTATCCTGATTTGTATTTTCAACACACAATAATATTCTAGAACCAAAATATGTTACTCTGTTTATCAGTAGTTGTCTTGGTCAGTTTATCTGCAGTTGTCATGGTCATAATATATAGTTGTCATGGTCTGTTTCTGTGTATATGTAGTTGCCATGGCCAGTTTATCTGTGTTGTCATGGTCTGTTTCTATTTTATCTGTAGTTGTCTTATTCTGTTAATCAAAAGTTGTCATGATTTGTTATTCTGTTAACTGTAGTTGTCATGGTCAGTTTATCTGTAATTGTCATGTTCATAATATCTAATTGTCATTTTCAGTTTATCTGTAGTTGCCATGGTGTGTTACTCTGTTTATCTGTAGTTGTCATGGTCAGTTTCTATTTTAGCTGTAGTTGTGTCTTTCTGTTTATCGTTAGTTGTCATGGTGTGTTACTCTGTTTTTCGGTAGTTGTCATGGTCAGTTTATCTGCATTTGTCATGGTCATAATATATATTTGTCATGGTCTGTTTCTGTGTATATGTAGTTGTCATGGGCAGTTTATCTGTGTTGTCATGGTCTGTGACTTTATCTATGGCTCTCATAGTCTGTTATTTTGTTTATCTGTAGTTGGCAGGTAAGTATATCTAGTTGTCATGGTCTGTTTCTGTGTATATGTTATTGTCATGACAAGTTTATCTGTCATTATCATGGTCATTTTATATGTAGTTATCATGGTCTGTTTATCTGTATATGTCCTGGCCAGTTTATTTGTGGTTGTCATATCCTGTTTATTAAAAGTTGACATTCTCAGTTTATCTGTACTTGCCATAGTCTGTTTCTCCTTACATTTCATGATCTGATTATCAGTTATTAGCTCACCTGGTCCGAAGGACCAAGGTGAGCTTATGCCATACCGTGGCATTCGTCGTCCGTCCGTAGTCCGTCGTACATCCGTACGTCAACAGTTCCTTTAAACAACTTCTTCTTCCTCACCGCTGATTGGAATTAAACTAAATTTGACTGGAAGCATCCCTAGGTGGTGGGGATTCAAAACTGTACAATTGGTTGGGCTGACCCCCCAGGGGGCTGAGGGGCGGGGCCAGAAGGGGGCGATTTGGCTATATTGCTTTAATTGACTTCTTTTCATGTGGGGATTCAAAATTGTACAAATGGTAGGGCTGACCCCCCCAGGGGGCTGAGGGGCAGGGCCATAAAAAAGATTATTTGGCTATATTGCTTGAAGCATTTTATTCTGTAGAACTATGCACTGGATATCAACCATACTTGACTGGAAGCATCCCTAGGTGGTGGGGATTCAAAATTGTACAAATGTTTGGGCTGACCCACCAGGGGGCTGTGGGGCGTGGCTAAAAGGGGGCAATTTGGCTATATTGCCATAAACTACTTCTTCTGTAAAACTATGCATTGGATATCAATCATATTTGATCAAAAGCATTCATGGGAGGCAGGGTTTCAAAATTGTACAAATGGTGGGGCTAACCCCCCAGGGGGCTGAGGGGCGGGGCCAAAAAGGGTTATTTGGCTATGTAGCTTTTAGCGACTTCTTCTCTGGAACTAAGTGATGGATATCAACCATATTTGACTGGAAGCATCCCTAGGTGGTGGGGATTCAAACTTGTACAAATTGTGGGGCTGACCCCCCAGGGAGGTGAGGGCGGGGCCAAAATGGGGCAATTTGGCTATATTGCTTTAAACGACTTCTTCTGTAGAACTGTGCCATGAATATCGATCATATTTAGTCGGAAGCATCCATAGGAGGCAGGGATTCCAATTTGTACAAATGGTGGAGCTGACCACCCGGGGCTAAGGGTGGGGCCAAAAAAAGTTTATTACTTGGAAATGGTTGAGATTCCCACCATATAACCATATATACAATTGCTGAGTATAAAGAGAAGAATGTACATTTGCTTCCAGGATGGCTCTAGGGTCTGGCCCCACCCTTGGAGACATAGTCCCTGGGCCATAACTTTAAAACGGTTGAGATCCCCACCCCAAAACTATATATACAAATGCAGGGCATAAAGACACGAATGCAGTCATGATATTAGAATAGACCCTGGGGTCCGACCGAACCCCTTGGGACCTAGTTTCTTTGTCACAGCTTGGAAACAGTTGAGATCCCCACCCTATAACCATATATACAATTGCTGATTATAAAGAGGTGAATGCACATATGCTTTCAGGATGGCCTTGGGATCTGCCCCACCCTTGGAGACTAAACCCCTGGATCATATCTTTGAAACGGTTGAGATCCCCACCCCAAAACTATATATACAAATGCTGGGCAAATAGAGACAAATGCAGTCATGATATTAGAATTGATCCTGGGGTCTGCATGGCCACAACCCTAGGGACCTAGTTTCTAAGTCACAGCTTTGAAACAGTTGAGATCCCCACCCCATAACCATACATAAAATTGCTTGTCATGAAAAATCTAATACAGATATGCTACAAGGATTGACCTTGGGGTCTGGCATTTTCCCTTTGATCTCATTTGGAGAATATTTTGCCATGATTGCTTAGATATCCAGGTGAGTGATACAGGCCCTCTGGTCCTCTTGTCTGTAGTTGTCATGGTCATTATATCTAGTTGTCATGGTTTGTTTCTCCTTAGTTTTCATGGTCTGATTCTCAGTTTATGGTCAGTTTATTTGTAGTTATGTTTTGTGATTCTGTTTATCTGTAGTCATGGTCAGTTAATCTATTTATCTGATGTTATCATGGTGTGTTACTTAGTTTTTCTGTAGTTGTCATAGTATGTTTATCTGCAGTTGTCATTGCCTGTTTTTCAGTCTATCTGTTGTCATGGTTATCATATCTAGTTGTAATAGTCTGTTATCAATGAATATGTAGTTGTCATGGTCAGTTTATCTGTGTTGTCATGGTCTGTTATTCTTTCTATCTGTAGTTGTCATGGTCTGTTGATTTGTAGTTGGCATGATAAGTATATATAGTTGTCATGTTCATGTATCTGTAGTTGTCATGGTGTGTTACTCTGTTTATCTGTAGTTGTCATGGTCTGTTGATTTGTAGTTGGCATGGTAAGTATATATTGTTGTCATGGTCATGTATATGTAGTTGTCATGGTGTGTTACTCTGTTTATCTGTAGTTGTCATGGTCTGTTGATTTGTAGTTGGCATGGTAAGTATATATAGTTGTCATGGTCATATATCTGTAGTTGTCACAGTGTGTTACTCTGTTTATCTGTAGTTGTCATGGTCAGTCTATCTATTTGTATCTGTAGTTGTCATGGTGTCATGGTCTGTTTATCTGTAGTTGTCATGGTCAGTATATATGTAGTTGTCAAGGTATGTTGCTCTGTAGTTGTCATGGTTTATTTATATGTAATTGTCATGACAAGTTTATCTGTCATTGTCATGGTCAGTTTATATGTAGTTATCATGGTCAGTTTATATGTAGTTATCATGGTCTGTTTATCTGTATATGTCATGGTCAGTTTATTTGTAGTTGTCATATCCTGTTTATCTGTACTTGCCATGATCTGTTTCTCCTTAGTTTTCATAGTCTAATCCTCAGTTAATCCGTACATAATGTAGTTGTCATGGTCTGTTTCTGTTTGTATAAAGTTGTCATCAGTTTATCTGTTGCTTTCATGCTCTGTGACTCTGTTCATCTGTAGCTTTCATTGTCTGTTATTCTGTTTATCTGTAGTTGCCATATTATGTTTATCTCTATAGTTGACATGGTCAGTTATCTGTAGTTATTATGGTCAGTTTATCTGTAGATGTCATGCATTACATCTTGTTGTCATGGTCTGTTTCTTTGTTTGTATGTAGTTGTCATGATAAGTTTATCTGTGCTGTCATGGTCTGTGACACTGTTTATCTGTAGCTTTCATGGTCTGTGACTCAGTTTATCTGTAGCTTTCATGGTCTGTGACTCTGCTTATCTGTAGCTTTCATGGTCTGTGACTCTGTTTATCTGTAGCTTTCATGATCTATGACTCTGTTTATCTGTAGTTGTCATTGTTTGTTATTGTTTATCTGTAGTTGTCATGCTCTGTTACTATGTTAATCTGTTGTTCTCACAGTCTGTTACACTTTTAAAAGTTATATTTAATTTTCATGATGTGTTACTTTTTATATGTAGTACTGTAGTTGTCGTGATTTAGTATAGTTTTAAGCTTAAGTTCTCATTCTCTGACAATATGGATATTTGAAGTTAATGAGTTAAAACAAAATTGAATTTCATTTTTGTTAAAAAAAATAACAAACATAATTATTTATAGGTATGTAGATTTTGAAATTGAAAGCTTGATAAGGAACTTTTTTTTATCAATTTATCTCATTGACTGGTAAAAGGTATAATAATACTTTAAGTCAGACTAATCTATTTTTTGTAGGAGGTATGGGACAAGTAAATTTTATTGATTTTACATCAATTATGAAATAAGTTTTTCCAACTTGTATTAATCACTCTTGTTGACCTGGATGGAAATGTGCATCTTGGTGAAAGGCGAGTGCACTTTCTACTGTGCCAGCTGACCACCATTAATGGATAAATACATCATGAATGCATAAATTGAAGACCTAAGACAGTTTTTTTCTGTTTCATGTGACTTTTAACAGAGCTAACTCAATCATGCATTTGTATATCCCTTAATCCCTTAATCCATTTAATACACAACTATTCCACAATTTGAATTTATCAGCTAATGACCAGAAGTAGAAAAAGGTTGAAAGAAGTCCTTTTTTCACACGTTTTACAGATTTTTAATTTATAACAGTTCATAATGCTACAGAAGTGGAATATTATTGACACTGTTATTGGAAAAGTTTAATTTATAAACGCCCGTATCACAGCTCCACCTAACCAAGCGAGGAGTTTTGGGTCCCTGTGAGTTTCCAAATTAGATTGAGTATGGTAGAATATTATCACGTCATAATCTTAAATTTTTTGTTGCACAGCCTCAAGGGCAGCAACTCCGCAATGTAAATACATGTACAGGTGAGGATAGAGTCACTAGCAATATGAGTTTGTCAGCTGTGATGATTCTCGCTTTAATCTGTTTTACAGCTTCCATTCCCACTGATCGGCTCTCTCAACGGGGTTCACATGTTTGGAGCCAATCACAATGTTGACCTTCTATCCTCCACAACAGATGATTCCAAGGTCATTTGGAAGGTGTTTCAAGACAGGTAAAACAGGAAAAGGGGTATCATATCAACTTATCTCAGAATCTCATTTCTATTTTAAAATGTACGACTTTTGGTAAATTTGATTTGTTATCTCTCATTTTATCTCACCTGGTCCTTTGTTGCACTGTGGTGTCCGTTGTCCGTCCGTCAACAATTTCTTCAAGCTGCTTCTTCATCTTACCCACTGATTGGAATTTGACCAAATTTTACTGGAAGCAACCCTAGATGGTGGGGATTCAAATCAATACAAATGAGGGGCTGACCACTTCTTCTCTGGAACTAAGAGTCGATATCAATCATATTCGGTAGGAAGCATTCTCAGGTGGTCGGGATTCAAAATTGTATGAACGGAGGGGCTGACTCGCCATACGCTACCCCAACTTACGCATCCACCCAAGGGGAGGCTGATAGGCAGGGTTAAAGGTGTAAATTAGCCATATTGCTAAAACTGACTTTTCCTCTGGGATTATGAAATTGATATGAGCCATATTTGGTTGGAAATATTCTCAGCAGAAGGGGTCAAAATTATACTAGTTGATTGGCTAAACCAGTGGGCTGAGGTGCGGGGCAAAATGAGTAATAACTTGGAAATGGTTGAGATCCCCAGCCTATCACAATATAAACAACTGCTAAGTATAAAGAAACAAATATACAAATGCTACCAGGATGGCTCCATATGCAATCAAGATTGGAACCGGGGACTGCCCCTATCCCCCGGATTATATTTGCAGTAGTCTGTACTACTCATGGGGATAATTTGCCATTATTACTTTAATATCCAGGTGAGCAATACAGGCCATTTTGGTCTCTTGTTTGCTTTAGGCCTTAAAGACAAGCTACTCATATGTCAATAAGCAAGATTGTGTACATTTTAATCTGTAATAAAAACAACATGGTTGATGTACCATGAACAAATAATAGGTTACAGTTACCAGGTTTGTAATGGTACTTAAATAAGACAGTTTAATGATATAATACTGAGTCTTTACAATCCTCTGGGACCTCAGTACCAGCTTTCTCCGCAGTGAATAGGTGATATATTTTCTTGTATTTCTATTGCAATGTACTTGTAACCAAAATAGAAACACCTGTCTGGAATTTGTTTAGCCTTATCAATGTCCTTAGCTGTGCCTGCTCCATTCTGAAACTGGCAAGAAGAATATGGTAGTAACAATGCAATCTTCTTGAATTTTGAGAGATCAAGTTTGTTATCAAAATGTTTTAGCGCCAGTACATGACATGTCTTAAGTAAATTTCATATGTAGATTTCCCTTGGTCTGTAGTTGTGCATGTTATATTTTGAGACTAATCGGAAAGACAAGCTAAAGTTTTTTCTTAAATTCTTATCTAGGTTCTTCATGATAAATGAGCAATTATATCATTTTGAGACTGATAGGAAGAACAAGATGGCCCCCAGGCAGCCATCTTGGATTTTGACAGTTAAAGTTTGTTATCTCTATTATCAAGAAGAACTTCACTTACCTTTCTCAAATTTAATATGAAGCGTTCCTTTGGTCTTTTGCTGAAAGGTAAAGATGGGATCCAGGCAACTCAAATTTAATATCACTATTCCTCAGGAAGTGCTTGACAGACCTTTCTGAAATTGTTCGTAGTTGTGCATGTTTCATTTTGACACGGAACAGTAAAACAAGATGGCCATTAGGCAGCCATCTTTGATTTTAACAGTCAACATTTTGTTACTTTTATATACCAAGAAGCACTTGACAGACCTATTAGGTGTTTTTGGTGTTGAACATAGATTCCCTTACCAATGGCAAAACATGTAAATTTACCCCAGTCCAATTAAAAAAAATCTGAAGGAATGCTGGTTGAAAAGAAATGTTTTCAAAATATTTGTGGTGCTGACCTGTCTATGTTTTGTTAGCTACTGTTTGCTAATACTTCTGTCACTGGAGATTTATTATATAAATAATAAATATATCATAAAAATTAGACAACTTTCTGAAATTTTATATGTAGGCTCTCTTTAGTCATTTAAATTTTGCATGTTAAATTTTGAGACTTATTGAAAAACAGTATGGCTGCCAAGTGGCCATTTTGAAATTTATTATTTTAACTATATCTTTTTAATCTTGCATAAACAGGTTCTTCCTGTTTCCTAGTTTTGCATACACTTCATTTTGAAATTAAAGCTGCTTGATCAGATGATAATTATGACTATTCATACTTTTTGAAATTTCCATGGGGGAGATTCTGCATGATCAAAATTTAAACATAAATAAAATGTGTGTATGTACACTTTAAAATTACATATTTTGAGTTGTTCTACAAATGAGATAATTAGATCTTAAAATAAAGGCATAGTTTAGAAAACTCTCTGGCTGAAACTACCAAATTTAAGGGTCACAAAATCGAGAGTGACTCCCTCCTAAATAGGATTTAGGGAGGGTTGGCAAGTATGAGTCTATTAGAAATGAGAAATATCACTTTGTCCATTTTTCCACATTTATTACTACATGTATGCTAGTAATGAAGTAAATCGACAACCTCACATTAAACGGACTATGTTTTATACAAGAGTTACCAGAAGATGTATTTATTGTTGACATGACTCAATCCAACAGATAAGAGATAGAAAAGATCAAACTAAGTGAGGTACCATGAAGATCTTACGATGGTGGGCGGCAAGATTCCTGTGGGACCTCTTGTTATATCTTCACTGCCATGATGAAAAAACATGACATGAGGATTTCTGTGACATGGTGAAAGATGTGTTTTATGTGGTAAAAGGACTTTATGTCCTTGCTGTCTGTATCACCATTTTAAGGGTGCTGAGAAATCGTGTAAGTGTGATACTATCTAAGTAGACTTGTAATATCTTATCAATTGTTATCAAAATAGTTATCTGTCCTGATAAAGATACCAGTGGCTAAATACTAGCTGTGAAAATGAATTTGAATTTACAATCCCCTTAGACTTTTTGAATTTAAATTGAAGGAATCGGAAAATAAATCTGCAAATCACAAAAACGCCTGTGATTATCTTTTGTGGTGCAACCATAGAATACAGCATGAATGATATGCAATGCTAATTTGAAACCTTTCAAATTAGTTATTTGGGAATTATTCAATTATATCAAGGTTCCTGCTCAAGGTCACTCCCTTTGATTTTACTACAACTGTTTTAAATCTCATTGTGAGTCTTTTTCTTTAAGGAGTTGCTTTAAGATTTTATAATATTGGCAAATGGCGTGATGTCCTATGCGACACCCGAGGCGCCGAAGAGATCGGTTTAAATTGTAAGTAGCATAATTTACTACAACTGGTTTAGATGTTGTTTATCGGTGTTTTCTTAAAATAGTTATATCAAAATACAAGGAGTTTCATATTAGAAGAATGAGATTTTCTTACGCTCTAGTTTGTTAGTTATAAGTACACTGTATCAACATTAATGAATATCTAAATAAAATAAGGAATTTTCACTTTTTATGCACATGTCCAAATATGGAAATGTGGTGCCTCATTTGCATGCAATTAAGAAATTTGAATATTCAGGCTGTATTCATTTTAAAAACTGCCTTTTCCTTCCTGGATTTTTTCGTTCAAAACTGACTGGACAAAACTTAAGGACTGCTTTTTATTACAAGCAATGAAATGACAAAACACCACTGATGGTATAAACCTTAGTGTGTTTGTTTTACATGTTTAAGACTTCTGTACATAGTAGTTCCAGGCTGGCTATGTTCTGATGTTTGTATACTGCGTAATAATATAAAGCTCTGCATATCACATCTTTCATCAGACAACTTTTGAAATTATTTTTGTCAATTTGTGCACGTTTTGGGGGGAGAGAGTAAGCCCACTGTATCCCATTACATGACCATCAGAGCCAACCAATATTGGACCCCCTGCAGAGCCCACCCCTGCAGGTGGGGTAACGAGAAAAGAACTCACCTGCTGTTACCCACATACATGTATCCTAAGAGGCGACTAAGGAGGGAACCCCCTAACAGAATTGGGGATTTGCTTTGTTGCCCTCTGCTTGGGGACAAGTGACCAAAATAAATTTGCTGCATCAATTGCAATAGTTGGGTTCTTTATGTTTCTGTCTACCTCTACCTACCTTTTATTTCCTAGTGCCTTGCTTGGCAATACCTCACTTCTGGCTTTAATGATGAATGTTAGCCCAAGTGATGAAGGCAATGGGCTCTGTCCCCAGACCGGGACATACCAAAGTCCTTAAAAATGGTAATTGTAATTCCCTGTTTAACGTTCGGCATCTAAGGAAATGGTATAATGTGACCTGGTGGAATGCTGTGCTGGGTGCCTTCGGTATGGAATTTCAGTGAGATAGCACTATAAAGTCGGCATCAGATCTGTGCTAAGTACAAAGGTAAATACACCAACATACCCTGGCTCCAGCACACATACACAACAGACATGAAGGCCCATTCTTAAATGACCTTAGCTGTTAATAGGAAAATAAACAAAAAAAAATCAAACCAAACCGGAACTGCAGAGCCATTACCATCAGCTACTTCCCTATCAAACCACATTTATCTAACTTGTCCCTTTTATCCTTCTAACAATATCGGGGTTTTTTGTGGATGGTTGTGTGAGGGGGGTGG